CAAGTTCTCTCAATAAATATACTTTAGTCAGTGTTATTAGGGTGTCTTAAAAATAAGATGCTAATAAATTATATGCCTCAGTCATATTTATATATAACTTAATTTATAAATTGATTTGCCTTGTTACAGAAACATTCTGCTTCAATTTGACATTCTATTTTAGAATATGTGAAATTGTAAAATATACTTTGTCACACAAAAGCATAATTATTTGGGAAGCGAATATATTTTGTTAATATTGTCATTTTGAGGCTAGACTTGGGTCTGTTAATCATAAATACAGAAACAAGTTTCACAGTTCATACAAATAATTTGTGTATATTGAATTTTACTATGTTTCAGCTTCACTTCACAGGATTATTTAGTCAGAGTGGATTCTGACTCATAGAAACACATTGGTCACGTAGCAATGCTGTGTGGTCTTTTCCAGGCTGTAATATTTTCAGAAGCAGTTTGCCATATCTTTTCTTCATGGCCCAGCTGGTTGGTTACAATGTCAAATTTTATTTTTGTAGCCAACAATGCAAGATGTCACTAGTTCCTGCTAGAATAGTATTTTAATTTATATCTTATGTTTCAAAAGATCTTTATGACCTTAAAAATTATTCAAATGTGGAGGAAAAATATTTGTTGAGAGTTTTAAAAGATGTGCATTTACATATACAAATTTTATGTAACTGTAGATTTATTTCTTTTTAGAAAACATCTAAGTCAGAATTTTTTATTGAACTTTCTTGGTAAATGTCATAACTGAATATATGTATAACTTCTTCTGATACTTAAAAATGACTCCAAAAATCCACTACTATCAAATAAATTCCAACTAATAATGACCCTTATAGAGGATTTTTGAGACTATAAATCTTTATGGAAGCAAAAGATAATATTTCTCCCAGAGAAGTTGATGGTTTGAGCCGTGGGTTAGTAACCCAATAGGTACTCCACAGTGCCCACAATTAATTTTACTCAATATAGTTCAACCATTTAAAAATACCTCCCTTTCACAAATAATGAATAAAAATAAAATTTAGAACACTACCTTTTAAAAATCTTCTCACTTTTTAAAATGCATTAGTTTAGGCGGTCTTTCATCTGAGCAATGAGATTTTTCTGAGTAAATTTCTTAGAAAATATGTGGAGCAAAATAAATATTCATCTTCCATCCATTTACACTCTAGATAGTCAGTGGAGTCTCGCCAAAAATCATGAGTCTTGACTTTCTTGACCTGGTTATTGATTCTAATACTTGTTTGTATGCACTTGGGAATGCCCACTGAGACTTGGACAAAATGGGGGAGGGAGGGTCACTAGTAACACCGCGTGACCCAAAGCCAAGGTTGGCAAAGGAGTTCTGATAATGTTTCCACAGGTGTGTGAAACATCAATTCAGGGGTGAAAGATACACACATTTAGTCAGATTATTCCAGATATCATTATAGAGTCATTCGTTTATATATTGTTATTCAACTAGTGCATATTAATTTGTCCAGTTCTTAATTTTTGCTGTTTTGATTATAGCTCCAAAGCTATTTAATAATTTAAATGGAATGTGATACATTTAAGAAAAAATTAACAACAGAAGTTCCTACAATATGACCGTAATTTTTTGTGATCATTCATTTTTCTTTGGTATTATTCTTTTTAAAATTGTTTCTATTGGGAACTGATTACAAGGGACTATATGTGACCTCCTCCCTGGGGGACGAACAACAGAAAAGTGGGTGAGGGGAGACGTCGGACAGGGCAAGATATGACAAAATACCCATTTATAAACTATCAAGGGCTCATGAGGGAGGGGGGAGCGGGGAGGGAGGGGGAAAAATGAGGACCTAATGTCGGGGGTTTAAGTGGAGAGAAAATGTTTTGAGACTGAAGTACAAATGCGCTTTACACAATTGATGTGTGTATGGATTGTGATAAGAGTTGTATGAGCCCCTAATAAAATGTTAAAAAAAAAATGGAAAAAAAAATCTGAGGAGACTGCAAACTCCGTGTATGCCTGTGAGTCCCATCACTCCCAAATCTGACACCTGCCTGTATCTAGCTTGCTTCAGTCACCAGTTCTGGAGATATTTCCTTGAGGAGTTGTGGGATCTGTCCATTAGCACGCTGTTCATTAACCCCACTTCTTATACTAGCCAATAATACTCATGGGCAAATGCATCTTACTTAAATAAAAACTTCCGATCAAGGGACTCCAGAGCCTCCTGATTCAGGAAGAATTTGCTTCAATTAAAAAAAAAATTGTTTCTATTGTTTAGAAAGGTCTGTTAGACATAATGCATTTTAAGACAACAAAAAGGATAGTTTTAATCACTCCATTGGAATTAGACTTTTTTCAGATAATGCACGAAGTGCTATTATATTTCTCTGTTCTTTAAGATCACATTCTGGAGCCTCAAATGGTAGACTTGTTTCTGGGTATATTTGACCTGCTTACTCCAAAAATGACACCAGTTTTTCCGTATCAGCTCTAGTTTCTGAGATATAGACTTATGTCAAATCCCAATCTTCACTCTGCTCATCCATGAAAAAACAGGATATTTTAATATAGTGTTGGCTAGCCTAAGATAGAGGAAATGCATGCTGTCTTTATTTAAAGGAGTTTGTGATGTGCTAAATATTTATGTCAAGTTATACTTTATATGGAATCCTTTTTCCAAAGATATATTTGAATAGTGCAAATGACATGAACTTTCGATTTTCCCCAATTAGCATTCCACTTTTATTAGGAAATGAATAGCAAGCAGTTCTGATTTGTTATTTTTTAAATGGGCCAGAAATAAGAGTATAAATAAATAAATAAGACACCCTGATGGCATAACAGGTTATGTGTTTGACTACTAACCACAAAATCGGCTTTGAAGACCACCAGCTGCTCCCCAAGAGA